CAGGACCTTTGGCGCCCCCTCAGTGAGGGGCCTGGGGCTGCCATTGCGGTGCCCTCACCACTCGTCTGTCCATTCGCAGGCTCGGAGCTGAGTCTGTTTTCTGCTCTTCAATGTGATACTTAAGTTACCAGCCTCCAAGTCGGCCCTTCCTTCGTTCCAACATGTGACTGGCCCAGGAGGTGCCTTCTTGTGATTTTAAGGGAAACGTTTGCAAAACCAGGTGTCCTCAGTCTCCCTGAACAGACCTCACCCTGAGTGTCGTCATGATTAGCAGCTGCATTGGGAAACCTTCCGTACTTTATGGTCGTCAGCGCCTCCCAGCCCTGGGGGGAAAGGGGCTCTCTGTGCATAGGAATGAGTGACAGAAACAGTGAGAAATCACAGTACGTCCAAGGACAGTGATCTGTATAAAAGCTGAAAATCATACGAGACTCCTCCAAAATCCACCTTCCCAGGCTAAAACATGATTATGTGTAGCTTTCACCGTTTCCTAAGAGCTGAACTAGGGAGAGTGATATTGATGATGAACTAGAAAAATAAAACATGCATGGCATTCACTAATAATTTTACAATGGTTGTTTGTTTCCCTTAAAGGAACATTCCAGTGCATTGTTTTAACTTTACCATGCTGTAGAAGTTCCCTCTGTCAGTAGTTATCTATGATTTTGAGACCTAGTAGGAATTATTGCTCTTTTCCCTTTAAATCTAAAAAGCAAAACTAGAGGCAACAGGCTTCAGGGTTTGTACCCGAATCGCAGGAACAGGACTAGGTGAGTCCTGGGCCCCTTGGTCCTCAAGAGAGACGGGGGCACCTGCGTGCTGTCCTTGAGCCCTACTGTCCCCTCGATTGTGTGCCGATTGGCGGGGCGGCCACAGCTGGAGGAGCCTGGGGCGGCCTCTGGGGTTTAGCGCCAACCCTCCGCCAGCCCACAGACCGGGGAGCCCGGGAAGCTCAGTCCCTCCAGGAAAGCGCCTGCACCCGACAGGGCAAGCCTCCTGCTGGGCTCCCAGGGGCAGGACCCGCCAGTCCCCACAGTGTTGGTCCCTGATGCCTGCAGGCCCTATCCTCCAGGGGGCCCTCACCCGGTCGCCGGAACCTCCGTCTGGCCCTCGGAGGGTCCGTGAGGCGTCTGATTTGGTCACTGGGCACCCTGAGTGGCTGGACCCTGGCCAGAGTGGCCTTTGGGCAGGGCAAGGTGGGAGTCAGGAGTCAGAGACTGGCCAGGAACACAAAGTGAGAGTGGGGGGCCCAGCCGGGGCGCTGGCATCTGAGATTAACCCCCGGTGAGAGATGAGGAGGACCAGTCCCTGCGCCCAGGCAGGGATTCTGAGCGGAAGCCCCCGCCAGCGACAAGGTCTGGGAGGATGACACGGAAGCCAGGCTGCATGCCCAGCTCTGCCTGCCCGCCCCTCACAGGTGCCTGATAAACACCCGCTAATTGGATGAGGACACCAGACCACACAAGTCTGTCACAAGTCTGTGACACCTGGGGGTCAGGTCACGTTCCTCATAGACTCAGGGGCACTGGTGTCCACAGGGGAGGAACCAGCAAGTGCCCACGGCGGCCCCAGGGATGAGCCCTTACCCCTCGTGAGGGTCGACCCCCATTCATTCCCCCCACGTCACAACCCTGCCCATCTCCACCTTGTGAGTGACATCTCTCCCTGGGGCGGGCCTTGGTGACAGCCTGTGCCCTTCCTCTTCTCAGGGCCACCTGACCTGGAACAATCTCTGGACTCTCATCCCCAGGGGAAGATACAGCCAGGGGAGGAAGGAGCCCCCAAGACCTCAAAGGAGTCAGGGGGCAAATCCCTGGGCGGGGGGCCCTGGTCTGTGGGGACACCCGGCTGGGGGCCCTGAGCCCATCTCACCAGCCCAGGGTGTCCTGAAGGACAAGGGGCACCTCCGTACAGGATGGGCCGGGCGACCAGGGTCCATGTTTTCCTCCATCTCAGAGGGGCTGAGGATCCCATGGGGAACCCCCTCCGCTAACAGATGAACCCACGGGGGCCCCTGCGTGAGTCTCCATGGGAAGCTGCTCCCGCTCCTGGGCCCTGGGGGGAGGCCTAGAGCAGAGGACAGGCAGGGACACAGGCGACTTGGATGTAACTCCTTAAAGCTGTGATGGGGGTCACATGGGGCACCCTGGGCATTAGATCCCCAAGCTGGCATCGTGTTCTATTTCTAAAGATTTTAATTTGTTTTTATTTATTTAGGGAAGGGAAAGGGAGAAAGAAAGAGAGGGAGAGAAACATCAGTGCACAGTTGCCTCTCGCACGCCCCCAACCAAGGACCTGGCCCAAAACCCAGGCATGTGCCCTGCCTGGCAATCGAACCTACGCTCAACCCTCGGAGCCACGCAGCCCGGGCAACTTCATGCTTTGAAAACCTCCCAAGAGCCCTCACTCACCACATCCTTCCTTGAATCCTCAGGAACAGAGAGCTCCTCTGGGGGGACAGTTCTCCTGTCACGGGGTCACCCTCCCCCCGGGCTCACTCTGCCCTGGGATAGTGTTAGGCAGCCTGGGACCCAGGGATAAGGCCAGTCCCTGCCGCTCACCCTGGCGGTCAGAGCCCGGCTCTGCTCAGGGCTCAGGGTCAGCTCCCTCCTTGTGGACCCTGGGCAGCATCCCTGCTGCAGCCCTGACCTTGGATGCAGGTCTCCTCCGTGCCCTCCCGGGGGCAACATTGAGACACCCAGGCGACAGAAAACTGACAAACCAACCCGGATGTGTCAAAGGAGGTGGAAAAGGAGCCTGATTTACATACCACTGACCCTTCTGGGTCCCTAGAATGTGTCTGCTCTGTCCCACCCACTGTTTCCAGAGGCCTAGGAGCACCTGCTCTCTCAGGGGTCCCTGAGCACCACCCGTGGGGAAGGCCGGGTGACCACAAGGCCCCAGGCAGACGACAGAGGCGGCCCCCATGGTCAGGGAGCACGTGGACAGGATGGGCCAACAGACACGCGGGAGGGGGTCTCCCTAACATCATCTCCCTCAAGGACCAGGGAGCGCACAGCCACCTGACCGCCCGCCACAGGCCTCTCTTCCCAGCACACGCAGGACCCCTCTCCCTTCACAGCCACGACCGGCGGGTCCTCCCAGACTCCTGGTCCTGGTCTCTGTCCCTGGAAGCAGAAACCAGGCTGGTGACACCTGAAGACAGGAGGAGGGGACCCCACCAGGCCTCACCCAGCTTGCCCCTGTCTCACCCCAGAGTCACCCCTGTGACCTTCCTGCTGGGAGGAAACCCAGCCTCCCCAGGGCACCTGAGGACCTGGGGGAGACCCAGGGACCAGCTGGGTTTAGTGTCACAAATATAAATAATGCCCCAGGATTGGGGACTCCAGGGACTGGCTCTGTGGTACTGACATTGCAATGGCCAGGACACAGCACAGGTCAGCAGTGGGGCTCAGGGGGCGGGTCATCGCCCCCGGGGTCAGCGGTTCCCCTCGGCGTTGCCACTGAGAGTGCTCTGCAGACCGGCATGATCGGCGCCCTCACAGCTTGTCAGAGGAAGGCTGTGGGGTCCACCAAACACCTGCTGAGCCAGAATCTGCATTTGAGCAGGACCTGCAGACCCTCCTTGTGCATACAGAGGAGGAGGGGCTTCCCCACACCATTGTGAAACCCACACCGTTGGGTCTCAGCCTGGCTGGGCATCCAGGTTACTGGACAGCTGCACAAGCGGTATTTCTGAGGTGTCACCTGGGCGTGGTAGGTTTTAGGAAGTCCCACAGATGATCGATTCCCGGAGGGCGACCTCCCTGTGACAAGAGGTCCTATTATAGCCCCTGGGCTTCTGCTCTGAAGAGAGAGGCCAAAGGGGATGAGAGCTGGCTGCTGGGGGGGGGGGGCCTTGTGCACCCACACTGAGCTGCGGGGCTGGCCCTGGACACCCTCCTGCAAGCTTGAGCTCGTCCAACGGTGACTGAAGGAACGGACCCAGGTGTTACCCAGATGAGTTAGGCCACACCCCTGTCCTACACATAGGTACTTGAGCTTGGCTGGGAGAAGAATTCAAAGACAAGAAGTCAGGTTATAAGAGAAAGTTCCACTAGACAGTCACAGAGGTAGAAGAATTGAACCTTAGAAGAATAGGGCCCAGGAAACAAGTTACAGAGGCAAAGAAGGGTCCCTGGAGCTTGGGAGAAACTTTATGAAAATCTGCACCTTGAGACTAAACAGGTGGGAAAGGCGAGTGTGTGCTCAAGAGAGGGAGCCGCACTGGGTCCTCCCTCTTGAGGGTATTCGTCTGGAGGTCGCAGGGAAGGAGGTCAACAGAATAGTCGTCCACTTTCCCAGTGTGTCCTTGCAGGTTCAAGGTCTTTACTGACGGGTCAGCGCAGGGCAGGAGGTCATTAGTCAGTGCAGCTCGTCCTGATGTCAGCCCTGGCGTCGCTTGTCTGGTTTCCTGCTTTTCTGGGCCTGGCGCGGAAACACCACTGAGGCCTAGATGTATGTGATGTGGTCAGAGCCTCATTGTCCTGGAGGCTTACTGTTTTAGGGCCATTCTCTGGTCCCCTTGTTTGTTCTTTCCCTTTCTAAGGAGGTCTAACCCACAGGGCTAACAACATTCCAGGGGACCAAAGGTTAGGGGAGGATCTGCACCACATGACCAGTGATAGGAAAGGTCAGGGGGTCTAAACAGCATGATCAGGGATATCTAGGGAAGGAAAGGTTACCTTGGGAGTAAAGTCTCAGCTCAGGTTTGCACGTTGCTAGGTACCCTGGGATTTCCACACTGGGGACCTGCTCTACTTGGCCTATCGTCCTACTCTGCTCATGTCTGTCTAACTGCCTATAGCACAAACCCTGTGTGTGTGTGTGTGTGTGTGTGTGTGTGTGTGTGTGTGTTTAGGAGTCACTGCTGAACAGGGCAGGGGCCTCAGTAGTTACAGGGAACTGAAATGTAGAGGAGAGGAAAGGGGAAGAAAGGGACGCAGGAGGCGAGAGCAAGGGGAGGGAGAGGAGGATCCTTGACACAGACCCCACCCCTGCCCACATGATCAAGGAAGTGATCTTGACACAGAAGGAGGCTCAGCACAAAGAGATTGACAGAGATCCCAGAGGTCGGAACCTCAGTGCCTGTGAGCATTTCTGGATCCAAGCTCTTCTGTGAGTGGGGGACAGAGCAGGCAGCAGACTCCATGGAGGCCCCCTCAGCCCCTGCTCCAAGAAGACTTGTGTTGCAGCAGGAGCTCCTGCTGGCAGGTGAGACAGCACAGTTATGGTGGCGAGGGGTGGACTGGAGGATGAGAGGCAGAGAGTGGCTGGGGACTCCTGGGGAGCACAGGGCTTTCAGGGTCAGAGGTGCTCAAGTAATGGTGGCCATGCTCCCGACCTGCTCCACGGGAGGGAGACACACAAACACACACACACACATACACACACACACACACACACACACACCCCGCAAGGCTGAGAGATGAGCAGATTTGCTCAGGACCAGGGGCCTCATCTTTCCCTCCCAATACATAGATCCAAATATTGATCAGTTTCTCTCCTCCCTCCTAGTCTCACTGTTAACTTTCTGGATCCTGCCCCCCACTGCCCAACTCACTATTGAATCAATGCCGCCCGATGCTGCCGAAGGGGAGGATGTGCTCCTCCTTGTGCACAGTCTGCCTGCGAACCTTCTAAGCTATTCTTGGTACAAAGGGGAGAGTGTGGACAGCAACCATCAAATTGCATCATATATAATACACTTAAAAATAATGATCTCCGGGCCTGCATACAGCTATCAAGAAACTCTATACCCCAATGGATCCCTGCTGTTCCAGAACGTCACCCTGAAGGATACAGGATACTACACTGTACAAGCCATAATGAAAGATTTGCAGACTGAAGTAGCAACTGCACGGCTCTGTGTGTACCGTGAGTGGTCCCTCTCTGACCTCTGGGTGTCGGGTGGGTGAAGTCTGCCTCACACACAGGACTGACTGCCCTGGACTCTGCCTCCCTCCCCCTCTGCATCACGTCCCAGGATGGGGTTGGGCATTTAGTGCAGGACACACAGAGTGTGGACAGACTTCCTAAGATCTTAGTTCCCTTCCCAGGTTCCAGCCCTGCAGACACTCACCACAGGGAGAAGGACCAGTCTGGTGGGAGTAACTCAGCAGGGGGAGACCAGTCTCAGTCCAGACCCCTGGCCCCTCCCCAGCAGAGCTGGGTCAGGGCCTGGCCTGAGAAGCCCCCTGGAATCTCCACAGAGAAGCTCAGCCCAAGAGCCCCTCCCCAGACCCCTGTCCCAGGGATCCTGACTCCAGGAACCCTGGGCAGCCTGTGTCAGGTTGGGTTTTGCCTCCTGGGAAGCTCTGCTCCCGAGGCTCCCGAGCTGGTCATCAGTCAGGGCTCGGCCCCATGAGCCACATTAGGGCAGCGATGGAGCCTGGTCCTTCACCTGAGACGGTGTGTGGAGAGCAGAGGTAGACGAGCTGCCTGGACCATTGCATGGATGATATAGAAGATTCCAGTGGACGATCAGTGCCCTCAGAGGGGAACAGAAAAGATGCCCCTGACAGCTGCTCCTCCACCAGGAACCAGCCCAGGGGATTCGCTGTCATTGAGGCAAATACTGGTCGTTGTCATTTATTTGGGCAGCTGCTCTGTACTAAGTTTTGGTCAAGTATTCAGGAGTGTTTAAGGTTGACGCATAGACAACATGGTAATCCAGAGTTCGTTCACCATTTATTCGGTTTTTATTCAGGAGAAACTGAGGCACAGTGTGATTCAATCATTGAATCAAGGCCACACAGACCAAGAGCAGTAGATCAGACACAACAAAGTCCCTGTACAACCACAGCCCCACTTGCTTCTACCCCAGGGGTTTTATTAGGTGTCTGTGGAGACTGAGATCACTCTTTGGGTCTAGTCCTTTTTCTCAGGTGTCCCTGCTTGAGATAGACCTTCTGGTCTGGGCAGTGACAGCAAACGGAGACTTAATTAATCTATACTCTGGAAAAAAATTACCTTCATGAACAATCCGAGTCAGTGCTGGGATGCCCAGCTGCCCCCCAGGTGGCTGATCCACACCTCCCCACCCTGGACTTAAAGTCACTTCTTTGTTTCCTGAAGTGCTGGTGTCACTCCCACTGAAAGTGAAGGAAAGGACTTTGCCTTCTCACTCCTCACTCTCCACCTGCAACCAGCTCAGGGACCAGCACTCAATTGTTTTTCCTTAATAGGGAAGGAGTAAAAGGTGGATGGATGAATGAATGAATGAATGAATGAATGAATTGTTCATAATCTCTACAGACACTGGAACCTGGATGCAGAGCCCTAAGAGATTTTGGTCACACCTGTTCCCTGTCCCTCCGGAGGCTGAGACACATGGTCCACCCCTCTGACCACCTGCCCCCGAAGCCCTCTCAGGAGCCAAGTCTCATAACAACTGTGGGCTGTTCAGCCTTGGGAGGGTCTCTGGACTGCACAGGTCCTGTCCTGGGGCCTTCATGCTGGAGTGTTGTTTGTTTGTGTGTTTGTTTTATACTCACCTGAGGACATGCTGATTGATTTTAGAGAGAGGGGGACCGGAGAGAGAGAAAGTGGGAGACATACATAGATGTGAAAGAGAAACAGTGATCAGGGACCGAACCCGCAATCTATGCATGTACCCGACTGGGGATAGAACCCACAACCTTTCAGTTCACAGGATGATGCTCCAACCGATCCACAAGGGTCAGGACATGGGAGCACCTGAAGTCACCTGTAAGCCCTGCTGCTCACTACCAAGTACATTTCTGGCTCCCTCTGCTCCTTCTGTGTCCTTCATCTTCCTCCTCTTCACTCCAGCCCCACTGCCCTGCTCTGCTCTGCTCTGCTTCCTCCACCCTGCAGTCTCCCTGGATTCTCTCAGTAACACCTGTGCTCTCCTGGGTGCTAGGAAAGGACACAGAAGCCAGTCAGAGCAGCAGCCCCGGCTCCATTATGAGCCACATTCCCAGGTCACCAGGAGGAAGAGCCTCCACTGTGCCCCCATCCAGGGTCCTTCTCTCCCTGATGCCAACAAGAGGAATGGGCCACGTGACAGGGACATGTAAACCATTAATCTGCTCTCTGTATGACTCAACCAGGGAGTCAAGGGCAGAAGGACAGGTCCCAGTCCCAAAAGCTCATGGGCTCACTTCAGCCCTGACTTGTGACTCACATCTGTGTCCTGGTATGAGGCTCCCATTCCTCTCAGTGACCTAGAGACCTTCCCGAGGTGGGGCTGGTGGCCCTGCACCCTCTGACTGGTTCACTGCCTGTGTCATACACGTGTGTCCTCATGATGACACCTTTGCCATGGGGTGGGGTCCCTCAGACGGTGGGGTCCCCCATACAGTGAGGTCCACCAGCCCCTGCCATTTCTCTTAGGTGCTGTCCAATCTGAATGGATTTGATCAAACTACAGTTGTTTCCTGAGTTATGTGGGGGCCCCTCCCCACTTGCCTGACTGTCCATAGAAACAGGTGACGGACCTTCTTCCCAAATGTACTAACATAACACACACCTTTTCTACCATTGCTGTCATTCCTCCCTTTATCCACCAGAGACACCTACCCGTGCCCCCTGATCACTTCTGTCCTCTCAGCGGGACTCACAGCCTCTCTCTCTCCTCCCCGGGAGGCGCTGATGTCACACTCGCTGCAGCACCCTCCTCTGGCCACAGTGTGAGCCTGCATGGACGGCAGGACTTGGTCTCCGACCTTGAATGTCCTGGTGATAGAGAGATTCCTCCAGAGACTGGCATTAGATCTTTGGTGTATGAATAATGATTTTCACATATTCTTTCGTGATTTAACTCAAAGTTCTGTCTCATAAGGCCAAACACAAACGGTCCGTGAGGGCCATATTTTCAGCAAGTTCAAGCCCCAGCACTTCCCACAAGTCACGCCTTCTGTAGTTGCTGTTGTCTGAGCGTTTGTGGGAGGACCCCTGCCCGCTGCAGTGGGAGAAGGGACACTAAAGACCAAGGGCAGGGAGCCCGGTTCTGCTGCCAAAGCCAGCCGGCTCCTGTGCCCCTCACCCTTTTCTAAACCACTCCTGGACTCTGCTCTGCCCTTTCTGGGGTCACTGTCTCATGTCAGTCACCAATGAACTCCCAGGCACACTGCCCACTTCACGGTCCTGCAGCCTGGGTACTGAACTGACCACCAGACTTCCTTCTGACCTCCTGTGTATTGTTTCTGCTCCAAGTGCCAGCCACAGTGACCCTATCGCACAGAATGTTCCCTGTGAGTAACATCGGTCCCTGTGAGGTGCAGGCCACCACCAGAACCCACATTCCAGAGGCAAGGCTGCATACCTCTCTGTCCCAAACACACAGACCCTCACCCTGGACACCCAGGCTGGCCATGACTTCCTTTCCCAGACCAACCTGGGCAGGCCCAGCCGTGAGCCAAGACTCGGATGGTATGGGCGGATCCTGTCTTGAAAGGCTGGGCATCAACAACCTGTGATGGGGCAAACAGATTAATGCCTCAGAATCAGACTCAGTGGACACAGGGGTTATGGTGGGGACTTTTTCGAACCAGGCTGTAACCCAGCTCAGAGGACACTGTGGCCCTTACACAGACCCTTCCCTCTGATTACATCACATGTGTCTTTGCTCTGTTTGCTCCAATGGCCCGGACGCCCCCACCATTTCCCCCTCAGACTCCCATTACCTACCGGGGCCAACCTCAGGCTCTCCTGCCACGCGGCCTCTGACCCTCCCGCACAGTATCTGTGGCTTATCAATGGGAGACCCCAGCTATTCACACAGGAGCTCTCTATCCCCAGCATCACTGTGAATAACAGTGGATCCTACACCTGCCTCGCCCATAACTCTGTCACTGGCCTCAATAGGACCACAGTCAAGACCATCACAGTGTCTGGTAAGTGCCCCCTGGACCATGGGCACGAGGCTCTGGGGTGGAGGTCTGTCTGCTTTTCAGAAAAGAGCCTGGATGTTATCTCCATCCTGTGGCCATGGACGCAGCAAATCACAAGGTCCTCCCCTGAGCCCCCACTACAGCTCTGTCAGCTCTCCTCCCCTGGCTCTTCTGATTTCTCAGGGCAGAGCTGGGGTCCAGCCTTGGAAAGTGAGGAGGGGGTTCCCTCAGCCCCAGAAAGCCCCATGTGGTAGAGGGGGCCCCACAGAGGGGGAAAACCAAGGGGCCTCTAAGTTGCTTCATCTGCCACTAACTCATTCCTTCTGTCACCTCTTTCTTTTCTGTGACCTACTCCATCTGCTATAGGGAACATACGAGGCTTTGAAACAAGCTCACCTCCTTTTCCCCAAACAGAAGGGTGAAGCCCCCGCCAAGGAGGGTGGGCAGGACAGACCCCTGCTCTCTGCTCTGCTCCAGGCTCACCTGGTGCCTGACTCTGCTGCCACCTGTGCTGGGACAGGACCCGTGGGGGAGTTGCATGGGCAACCTGTCCTCAGTTTGGCCAAATTGTGCCGCCCACTGACACCAGAGCTCCCCGAGGCCAGGCTGCATGGAAACAAGCCACAGTGTTTTCATATGGAAAGGGAGTTTGATCACTTAGAAATTCACAGGAAACAGCGGGGAAGAGTCACACAAAAGTCGATGGGTGGAAAATTCCCCCCGAGGCTGAGGATGCTGGACACATGGGCTGAGAAGAGGTTCCTGGTGCTGATACTACAGATGTGCAGGGGCACAGGTCAGGGGTCATCCTGGGGAGATCTGGTATCAGAGGGAGAGATATAGTCCTCTCTCTATGGATTGTCACCTGAACAAAGACACTCGTTCTTCTTCAGAGGTCAGGGCCATCCTCTGGTGACCATGTCATAGCTCACGGGGACTGAGTGGCCGAGGTCTCTGGGGAAGGAGCCCACTCTCGTCACTCACCTCCTCTGTTTCTCCACAGAGCCCGTGGGGAAGCCCTCCGTCCGAGCCAGCAACACCACCGTCACAGAGCATAAGGACACCGTGGTCCTGTCCTGTCTCACAAATGACACTGGGATCTCCACCAGGTGGTTCTCCAATGACTGGAGTCTCCTACTCACAGAGAGGATGAAGCTGTCCCAGGACAACAGCACCCTCACCATAGGGCCCATCAGGAGGGAGGACGCTGGGGGTTATCAGTGTGAGGTCTCCAACCCCATCAGCTCCAGCAAAAGTGAGCCCCTCAGGCTGCATGTGCATTGTAAGTGACCCTCGGCCTCTCCCACCTGCCCCCTTGTGTACTTCACAGGCTGGGGAATGAGACGGATGAAAGTCCTAAGGAATTGGGAGCCTCCATCAGAGTCTGCAGGGCAACATGGGGAAGAACCCAGAAGTAGACAAATCTCGTCCTTGTCTCTCACCCACCTGAGCCTCAGCACCCTCGCCTGTAAACTAGAAGGAAACAGCTGGGCCTTAGGATGGTTGTGAGGATGTTTTTTGTGAGATTTGTGAGGTTAAAGCCCTTGGACAGGGTCACTCACAGTCAGGCACATCCTTATTGCTAATCAGCACTGAGCAGACAGGTCAGGGCCTGCCCTCTGAGACTGTCAACAGGGATGGAGAAGAAACAGAGGGAAGAGACACAGTGTGAGGGGAAAGAGGAGTTAGGAGGAAGGGCAGTGGTAGGCGTGAGAGAACCTGCAGGGTTAGAGCAAACGGAAGGTTTCAAGTGTGCAAAACAACGTGACGTGACCAAGGGAGTTGGATCCAGTGAGGCCCGGACCTTTCCAGTAGGTCGCACCCTCGGGCGGTTCCTGTCCTGGTTCCTCTCTCCCCTCCCTGTTTCTTGAACCCCTTCCCCTGGAGGCCCTTCCCCTGCGGGCCCAGATCAGCCATGGTTTCCTGAGGCCTTGCCTCAGAAGGACGGTCTGATGACAGCACCTCCAAACCGCACACCGATGGCGACAGTTCCTTCCTCCCTAGCCAGGCCTCCCCGGTGCGAGGCCCCTCCTTGTCTCCTGACTGGACTTGGGCCCCTCCCCGCCCCCTCTCCCTTCCCCTCTCAGCAGATGAAAACTACTCGGGCTACCCCGTGGGGACCATCGCTGGCATCGTCATTGGGGTCCTCGTCGTGGCGGCGCTGGGGACCTCCCTGGGGTGCTTCCTGTGCCTCCGGAGGACTAGGAGGTACCATGGCATTCCCTTCACCCTAATCCTCTCCCCACCCCAGGCTGACCCCCGCTGACCCCAGGCCAGGAGGAAGGAGACCCCTCCCAGATGCTGGGCTGGCTCTCTGGCCTCCCGACTCCCCGTGGATGTTCCTAACTCACCCCCTCCAGCCCCTCCGGCACCAGCCGCTGACCAGGGCAGTTTCCTCAACAGCTTCCTCGTCTATAAATCGCTCACAACTAAGGGACTGTCCCCTCGGGATGGTCCTGGTTCAGTCCTCACCCCCGCAGCGGGGCCTGCTGGCAGTAAGTGCTCAGTAAGGCACCTGCGGTTGTTTGTCTAAATCCACCCACCGGGTGAGGGGGATCTGCTGCCCCAGGACCTGAAGGGCCTCCTGGCCAAGGTCACACTGCTGAGGGTGGAGGAGCCTGCACAGGCCGGGGGAGCTCAGTCGCCCCCGCGTGGCCAGTTTGGTAGCTACAACCCCTGATGTATGAGATGGGATACCTGGGCCTGGACGGGACAGCAGACGCTGTGCAGTCATCTTGGCCTCTAGTCCGGGCAGATGGAGATGGAGGACAGGCCACTGTCACAGCTCAGCTCTCGGGCCTGAGGGGCAGGTCTGGCCCCAGCAGGACACCGCATTCATCCAGATGCAGCAAGCACGGGGCTCCCAGGGTCCTGCACAGGCAGCTGGCCCTGCTTCCCTCTGCGGCCTTCAGCTTCCCACTTAGTCACACGCTCGGGGTGGTGCCTGTCCCGGGTCCTCAGTCCCTTCCCTGGTCACTGCCTCTCGAACCCCGCCTGCCCCTGCGTCCTTCCCTTGTGGGCCCAGGTCAGCCATGGATTCTTCAGGCCTTGCCTCTGTTTCCCTCTCCTGGTCCCTCCCTTTCCTTAACAGTAGAGAAAGGTCTTCACCCTCTGATGAAAAAGGGACCCTATTGTCCCCCGTTGTGACGCAAAAGCTCCCCCTGCTCCCCTCACAAGGAAGTCTGACCTTTCCTAGGGCCAGTGACCCACGAGGCCGCAGAGAGCACCGACCCCCAGCATCCACCCCTGGTGAGTGCCTGCTCAGCCGGGCAGAGGCCGGATGCCCCTGACCCGCCCCACAGAGTCCACTCCTCCCTGTCCCCCCTCCCCGGGCTCTGACCCTTCCCTGGGCTCCAAGGCGGGGGGCTCTCATCAACCTCTGTCAGCCCTGACCTGCAGGGCTGCATCATGGTCATCCCCTCCCTCGATGGACCCTATGATGGCCAGAGGGTCTGTCTCTGGGAGGTGTTCTGTCCCCCCCTGGTTCTCTGGGGGCTAAGGGACCCATCCCCTCCCCGGAGAAGGGGAGAAGCTTCCTCACCCCCGGGTGCTGACTGCTGTCTCTGCTCCCAGGCCAGGGTCCTTCTGGAGCCTCCGCCTCCCCGGTGAGTCCATCCCCTCCCCGTCTCTCCACCCAGGGTCCCGGCTGTGCAGGCCCAGGGCAGGGGTACCCTCCAACCTCGCCGCACAGCACAGACCCCATCCTCAGAGCAGCCAGCGCAAGGCCTCCCGCCCGGCCTGGAGGGGGCACCCACGTCAGGGACAGACGCCCGGCCTGCCCTGAGCCTGCCCTCGTCCCCCGGGTCAGCCCGAGGAGAGCCCTGGGGTCCAGCATGGAGCAGAGTGAGGGCTGCGAGATCAGGCAGGGCTCCTGGGCTACCAAGGGTGAGGGGGTGCAGTGTGGACTGAAATTGGGGTGCAGGGCGATGGGTAGGTGTGGGGACAGCTGGTCAGGAGGCAGAGCTGTCACTCCTGTGGGGAAATGACCCTCCCTCCCTGTCCCCTGATGCCCTCTCTCTCTTGTCCCTGCACAGGGTCCCCTCGACTCCCCCAGGACAGCCTGCCCCATCTATGAGGTGAGTGGGGGTGACGAACGTTCTGTCCCGCAGGTCCGAGGGCGCCCAGGATCTGCCCCAGCCCAAGGCTGGCGGGGCTTCACGTTCAGGAAACGGCAGCATAAAGTGAAGACAGAGGGTGGGGAGGAGGGGGTGCCGGGGTCAGGCACCCCAGCACGGTCAGCCCCATCACACATGTGAAACGCTGCCCTGGCTCTGGGGAGGATGCAGGGCTCAGAGGCCTCTTCTCTCTCCCACAGGACTTGCTGAGCCCGAGCACAGACGTGTACTGCCAGATCCACCCGAGAGCAAACGGGGCCCCTTAGTTCCCTGGGGACCTGCTCCTCCCACCCAGGGCTGTGGGGAGGAGACCTGAGACCCCCGACCCTGAGGCCTGTGGGGGGTCAGGAACTGGAGCCCGAGCCAGAGAACCAGCTCTGAGTCCTGGGGATATTCGGGGACCTGGGCCCAAGGTCGGGGTCCCTTCTGATCACTGACAACCCTGACAGGCTGCCTGGACCCTGAGGGACCAGGGGAAAGGCTCTCATCTTCCAGAAAGTGACTGGGGCCGTGAGGCACCGTGGACCACCTGTGTGATCCGAATAAAGGGGACCTTCCCCCCGTTTGCTCTTTTTCTATGAAAGGGAACTTCTTTTAGTAGAAATTCACCTGAAACTCTGGTCATTTCTCTCCAAGGTCACACAGGGAAAACATCTCTAAGTTACCCCAGCCCTCATTTCTGTTTCCTGAGAGAAAGGATGGAATGTGGGTGTGGAGATGGCGGGACATGTTAAAGGAAAGGCAGAGCCCTGGCCTGGTGTGCTCAGAAGGTTGGATGTCGTCCTTGGGTGCCAGGGTCACGGGTTCAATACCGGGTCATGGCACATGCAGGGCTCAGCCAATGAATGGATGGATTTGTGGAAAAAGAAATCAATCTCCCTCTCTCTCCCCTTCCCCCCAATCAATAAATTTAAAAAATTAAAAATAAAAATGAAGGAAACACAAAAATGACAGGGGTGCCCTGGCTGGTGTGGCTTAGCAGATTGAGCGCCAGCCTGTGAACTCAACGGTCACCCGTTCGATTCCCAGTCAGGGCACAGGCCTGGCTTGTGTGCCAGGTCCCCAGCTGGGAGTGCGCAGGAGGCAGCTGATCGATGTCTCTCTCACACAGTGATGTTTCTCTCCCTCTCTGTCTCCCCCTGTTCCCTTAAGAAAAGATTTTAAAAAACAATGACAGGAGCCATAGCCCTGCCAGGAGACAACACTACCTACAGTCCTTGCATGGCCCTGGGGACCAGGCCATGGACCCTCCCAGGGTTTGCCCCTCTCCACATGTGCCCTGTGTATCAAGAGAACACAGTAAGGGTCACCTCAGGTTCTCAAAAGATGAGCAAGGGTCCTTCCGTGGGGTCACTGCCTATACCCATTGGTAGGGAACATATTCTTGGTGGGGCCCCCACTGAGTCTCCCAATGTCCAGTGTCCTCCCTTCTTCCTCCCCCAGGCCCTGGTGGCCTCAGCTGGTGGCCTCCACAAATAGACTTGCCTGTCCCCACATCCAGGATCCAGGGCGCTGGGCTCTGTCAATGAGGTTCCGCTTTGACCCAAAGGCTAGCCCTCGGGACACCTTTACATGTGGGGGACACAGACAGGCGGCCAGAGTAACCGAGGTGGGGAGGACCCGGGACTCCTGCCTGAGCAGGCCCTCCTTGGCTCACCCATGAGCTCAGCCCCCACTTCCCATCCGTCTCCACTCTCCTGCTCCACCTGGATCTCACTGGCTCGGGCGTCCTTTCCACAACGGAGCGTCCAGGTGTTCCAGCAACAAACTCTCACCCAGGCTGCCACGGAGAAGGGACAAAGTGTCTCCTGCACCTGGCCCACAGGCTTCCTCCCACACACGCCTCACCTGCAGCCCCCCTACACACCTGGGCCCGCCGTTCTCAGGCCTCCCCTGAGCACCCAGGATGGGTGCTGTTCCCATGTAGGTCCACTCGGATCAGGGTGCCCACGTTCACACAAGCAAAGCTGGTCCATCACTGAGGCGCAGAGCCACAGCTCGGGGACGTTCCGCATTGCCCGAGCATAATCTGTCATGAGATGAGATCGTCACAAGCCATCAAAGTCTCTCATCACGATGGGGCTTTAACTCCTTCCCTATCCCAATGCACACGAGGCTGGTTAGACAAGGTGACGCCTCTCGCTGGTTTCCTACAGCTGCTGCAGCCAATCACCGCAAACATGGCGGAGCCACACAGCACAAATCACAACATCAACATGGCTGGTTCTTTCTGGAGGTTCTTTCTTGTGTCTTTGCCTTTTCAAGATGTCAGAGGCACCTGCATTTCGTAGTTTATGGCCCCTCCTCCATCTTCATAACCAGCAGCGCAGCATTTTGAAGTCCCTGTGCTCTGCTTCCACCGGCACACCTCCTTCTCAGGCTCTGCCTCTCCTGCCTCCCTCTGCCCCTTATAAGGACAGGACGCTTGTGATCATAAAGAGCCCACCTGATGAACCACCAGAGTCTCGAATCACGTGATCTTTCACCTGTTAGTTCCCTTTATCAGGCGACATGTTCACAGATGCTAGGGACGAGATGTGGACTTAGGGGCCCGTGTCCCGTCCACCGCCCCTCTCCAGGCAAGTCCTTCATCTTCCTCCACCATGAGCCGCCTGTGGGCAGCCTGGACTGGGTCCTGCTGACCCTGGGGCCAGTTCATGCGGTGACGTCCACAGCACCCTCAGTCCCCAAGCGAGGGAGACAGAGGCCATTGCACATGCCCGACAGCCCCTCCTCTGCCTCCTCCTCGTGTCAGCAATGCTCCTTGTAAACAACGACAACAAGGCCGACGCAGCTCCTGCTCCTGGAGCGCTCAACCCTGGGTGCTGGGCGTCCGCGCCACAGCCGGTGTCTCGGGACGCGGCTCCCTGGGGCTACGGTGGGGCAGGCACCATGAGGAGGGGCTGCGAAAGGCCACTGGTTTCTATTCCACATGAGAAAGACACCACCAGGGGGATGTTACCCGATTCTGCTCTCATCCGTGAATCGTGAACCTGTTGCACGGGCCTGGAGTTCACTTGTTGGCTCTCTCCACACATGGGCGACCTCTCGGAGGCTGACCAAGCTCCGGCCTCAGGGAACCTCCATGCCCCTGAGGGCCAGGCCGCTGTCTTGCCTACAACACAGAGGGATGTTCACCGAAGAGCTCTACTTGTGTTCCCACCACACTAGGTACTTCCCTTCTCATGCCCTTGCGATTCTCATAACTGGTCTCTCATAGTGACTGGCTAAGTGCCTGGCTCCCTGCTCCAACACAGGGATCACAAAAGGCCTGTCTCTGTGGTGTCCCCAGGCCAAGCCTGGTGCTGACACAGAAGAAATGCTCAAGGAGTCACACAGGGACAAGTGCCAGAGTCCCACTCCAGCAACCGTCAGGGTCCCACTGGAATGGACGGAGTCAGCACAGTGAAATGATGAGGGGTCAGGTATGCAGTTGCAGACAGTCTGTCTGCAGCAAGCAGGCAGTCCTTTACTTATATTCAGACACTGCATAAGTTGTGGTTAAGTGCTAACATAAATCAGACATCGGTTCTTTCAGTTTCCCATACCGCATAGTCATGGGGTTTTAACATCCCACTTATTTTTACCTCTATGCTGAACTTTATTTCCATTACTCTTAGTCTATATTTCTAACTAAGCATATAAGTCCTAAAGCTTATACTGCTAAAACATACTCAGCAAAGGTTATTTGTGGAAGCCTTGCGGAAGCCCTGCGGTTACCCCTGTCTGGCGCGTTTTCACTCATAATTTCTGATATAATACCAGCACCCTATTTCTCGATAATACTTATTTAATTGTTTCCTAATAGCATTCCTAGATTCCTTTGTTCTATAACACTGGGTGGGGAGGGGAAGGGGTCCTGACCGTGCCAAGGCCTCTAGGAAGCTCGATTCCTGCCACCTCACATGTTTTCCATTTTTCACTACCATTCTTTCTCCATCCACATATGCCCCTGTGTAAGGCAATGGTTCGACAATGGTTTCAGGCACCCATATTTACATTCCCTGTTTTCCCCGGGGCTTTATTTATACCGGGGCTTCCCGTGTTTCCTCCCTGCCTGGGGGCTGCCCAATAGCCCGCAGGCTTGGGTGATTTTGTGGCTTGTATGAGGGCCTGCAATTCCTGCCCTCTAATTTTCTTATAGACTTCTTTAAATGGGGTACAGGGCTTAGTGGTCAGTTCTTTTTTCCCCTGTCTATTTGTCTCATTCCCTGGAATTCCAGCAACACCATACAAAGGGGCTGCTCTATGAGCAATTAGACATACCCCCAAGAGGGGGATTATAACCATAAGTAAACAGGAAAGTCCCAAGAGTCAAGCTTCTGGACATCTGCCTTGCGATTGTCCATGTTCCTCTGCAACCTTGTCAGACAGAAGGGCTAGGTCGGCTCCCGGCAGACTAGGAAATCAACCAAACAGAAACAGAAGACCAGACGGACAGGACACTGGAAGACACGCTGGCTCTGCCGCCGCGGAGGGTCCTCCCGTGGACCCGGGCCCTTGACCCTCATGAAGTCAGGAGCCCGGGTGTGCACAGGTGCGAGGGACGAGCTCCCTCGGGACCAGGACCCTGACCACACCCCCTCACTGCTCAGCTGTGAGCCCCTCACTCGCCTCAGTGGTCTCTCCTGCCACCACCTGTTCTTCCTCTTCTCACACAGGGTCCTGACCAGGCCCAGAGCCCCTGACCCCAGATCCAGGGTGATGTCAGCCCGGGCAGGACCGGGGCCCCGCCCCCCTGACTGCAGAGTGAGTCAGGCCCAGTGCCCCACAGCCCAGCTGACCCGCCCCCGCAGGCCTCCCCTCCCAGGACACACACATTCGCACTTCACGCCTCTAGGAAGTATTGCTTCTGGGACCCCCCGGTCCTGACCATCTGTCCCTGGAAGCTGTGGCCTGGTTAGAGCCCCACAGAGATAGCAGGGGGACCTTCTCACAATCACTACCCTCTTGACCCCTTCTCACCCCAGTGTCATCTCTGTGACCTTCCTGTTGAAAGGAAACCCAACCTCCCCAGGGCATCTGAGAACCTCGGGGAGACCCCGGTGCCCAGCTGGGTGTCTGTGGCACAAACAGGTGAAATCGCCTGCTTTAGGGACCCCTGGGGCTCTCTGTGGTGTGCTGAGAGCCCCAGGCCCGGGCCCAGCAGGGGCCATGCTGGGGTGCGTGGGTGTCATCCCCTCAGGGCAGGGTCCCCATCGACCTCGACCATGGAAGTGCCCCCCAGGCCGGTGTGATCAGTGTCCCCTTAGAGCTGTTAGAGGCAGAGTCCCTGGTCCCCACCTGCTGGGCCAGACTCTGCATGTTCAGCCGGACCCGCACGGCCTGCCTGTTCACAGGAGGGAGGGAGGGGGCTGCCCCACCCCCACATCCGGGGCCTCAGCCTGGCCGGCCTCCCCAGGAGCTGGGCCGCTGCTGAAGCAGCGTTTCTGAGGTGTCCCCTGG